TATATAAAAATAATAATTAATTAATTATATAATATAATAATTACAAATTTTATATTTAAAAATTTTATTTACCGAGAATTAGATTTTTTTCTTTTTCTAATATATTATAAATTTTGTATGAACACGTAAAATTTCATTATCTAATAATGTACTAGCTAATGTTTTGCGAACAGGTAGATTATAAGCTGGTCGTAATTGTTGAACAAATTTAACAAAAAAAGAATAATCTACAAGTCGCCAAGAAAGCCCACCACAAACAAAAAGCTTAATAAGAGAAATATCTAAATTTGCTTTTTGTTCATTACTTAATGTTAAACTTTCAAAATAGTTATTAATATCCTGTTGATCTTCAGTTGCTTTTCTTTTGCGATTATTTTGAGTTAATTCTTTTTCATGCACTTCTATCATTTTTCATACAGCTTCTTTAACATGTGGGTCAACTGTTTTGCATTCAACTAAAATATGCCATTCTAAACTAGAAGGTTTTCCTCTTTTCCAAGATGTATCACAATTACAAAAAACTGAATGATGACCTGAATCTATTTCTTCTCCTTCATTAAAAAAGCTCCATATTGGATGACGTGGTCTTCTACCCAAATTTTTATTATTATTATTATTATTATTATTATTATTATTATTATTATTATTCTGAACTAAATCTTCGGATTCACTATTTTGACTTGCTATACTAATTTTTAACTTTTGAAAAAAAATTCAACAAATTATGAAAATTTTAAAGTAAATATTTTCTTTATTATTATTATAAATCTGTTTAATTTTAGCACAGTTAAAATATACAAATTAGACAAGTTGTTTAGACCTGTTTGAATATTAGTTTGAAGTATATCAATATTGATACTATTTTAAGTATATATACATGAGAGAGATGAAGATAAATAATCTTCACATACTAAATAATATTCGGCCAGATAGTTAGGAAAGTAGTACAGTATGATAATAAAAATTAAACAAGATTTAAATATACTAGTCAAAAGCTGGCAAATCGAGTACAAATCAGGTATGCCATATTTAAAACTGATAACTACCTGATTGTTGCTAATTTTTAAATCTAACAGTCTAATTGATACCGATTTATAGTGCAAATCGCAATCTGGACAAAATCAAATATCAACTTAGGGATTGAAACCATTATTCATTTAACTGTGATTAATCATTTATTTATTTTATATAGTTAAATGAGTAAAGGTTTTAATAAACAATTAAAA